ATCTGGATTGTCCTGCGGAAGTTCCGGTGAATTGTCTGAGAAGGCGATACAAACAGCATCAACTACAGCAACAGAGCCAGCAAGCTTCCGAAATCTAATGTGGCACGGTGTCATTTATTCGCTACCCGACCAAGAGCAGTCGTTCCGCATGCAATTTGAGGGCGCAAGCAGTTGCGCATATAAAAACAGCAGTAACAGGGTACGTTGCACGATAAAAAACTGGGTAGATTATCTGTACGGAGAATTTCTTTTGGACTCCCAAAAATTCAAAAAAGCTGAAAAGGGGGTTGTACTTCAGCTTTCTCAATTATATGAACGTATCTGCCCATGCTTGCAGCCAAACCTGTTAGACTACATCCAAAAGACAAAATTGATAGCTTGCAAATTTTACAACTAGGAAAAAATTAAGAAAATATGAAAGTGAGCGTATTTTAATTACGATTAAATGGGAGAAAGAAGCAGAGAAAAAATAGCGACAACATAAAGTATGACTGCTGTTCTCGAAAATGAATAGAAAATAGATAAAACACCAATTAAATACAAACACTGGGGAACATACTCGACTGCAGAAGCAATACGTGGGCTCGTCCTCTTCCTTGGCCTTTACTCTAGGAGTTTTGCTCAAGCGATTACTTGTTCTTTTCTTGACACCATTCTCCTTTTTAACCTTGAAAATAAAAAATGAGAAAAATGCAGAGAAAACGCTACGCTAAAAAACACGAAAAAACGCTACGAAAAGCATCCACGATACCTTTTTCTCAGCAGGTGGTGCTGATGGAGTTTGTGTAGCACGACGTTTATTCCCCACACGATTGTTTGTGGTGACCGGTGTTTCTGGGTTAGAATCCGCTTGATTTGCAGCGTGCGCATGAGCCTAAACGATGTTATTTATTCAGGAAAGCGTAACTCGATCTCAATACTTGCGAAAAAAAAAACAATGCGAAGGCACTACCTTAGATGCAGTGGCCTTTTCGCGATGACCGCTTCGCTCCGCTTTCGAGGAAGATGGTACTTCTTTTTCCTTTCTTTCCTTCTTTGAAACCTTTCCACGTTTCACTAAATTACGAGTATTTATGTGATATTGTAGAATAGTCGTCTTCTTAGAGACGACTGTGGCGCAATGCCAAGAAGGCGAACTGTAGTAACTAAAGAAAGGATGGTAACTGATGTTGAATTACATACACTTCACCTCAACGCACATCAGCTGTAGTTATACAAAGATAGATTGTGAGATTCTGATGACGAAGCGATTTGATACTAGCTCAAAGACTCGCTGAGCAAAAAGACTTTGGAAACAAGAAAACCACAGGATTGAGAAAGATGGTTAGTTGGTACAATGTATTTTATTAGGTTGGCTAGAAAATAATTTCGTTTTAGCACAAAAA